CTTTTTTTTAACAAGTGTACAAACAAGATACACAATGATAACTCTCCTTTTAAGAAACAGCAAAGCAACAAGTCATTAGCGAATCTTTCAGAAACATCACTATTGTAAAGTTCTTCTTTTGATGAGTTCGGAAGTTGCTAACAATGACCAGAATAAACAACATGCACTGAAAGAAGCCGGGGAGGCGCGAGGAGCACAGACCGGAACGAGACCTCTCTCCTCCTCCGCACCTGTGGAGGATGACCTGTCGTGAAATCTACAGTGTCACATCCTCATTTACCGTCGTCTCTGTCACCGCCATTGTCACAGAGAAGAAGGATGATAAGTAAAAGGTTGTTAACAAAGGAAATCTGTTTTACGGGCTATGCTGGATTTGAAGTCGTTTGGAATTGTTTGCATTCTTTTTTTTCAGCTCTGGAGGACCTTGTATTGACTTTTATTACGGACATGATTTCTTAGCCACTACCTACTTACCTGGCATTATCCAGAGCCTTGTTGATTTTCACAGAGACCTTTTTCTTCCCTTTAAAGTCCACAATGGAAGGTTTTGAAAATCGTTTTTTCATGTGAGTGAGATTGTGATGTCCTTCCTTGTTTTTTAAACGCAATTTGGGTTCCATTGTGAGTGAACAGATACACTTGTCGGTCCGTGATGACAGTGGCTGGCTAAATGCGCATGCCATTTCTGAGCTGTTCAAAAACTGAACAAGAATCCTTCAGCCTGTGAAACAAAAACCAATTCAAAATGAAGTAAAAATGTGTAGCCTACTGGTGTACTGTGGTCGTCACCATTACAAAACATATTTGCATGTCTCAGCTCAAAACGACAATATAGACCCCCTGACTCACAGTCTCACTACCAAAAGACCAATAGATGTTTTGATATTGACTACGTAGAACTTTCCATTGTGCACATACAAGGAGCGAGGGAAGGCACTGTTGATCTTTGGAGCAGTAAGTAAGTAAGTAAGTTAGATTTTATACTTGTTCTTTGATGCCGGCGTTAATGTGCTCCTCGTCAGGTAAACCAAAGTAGTGGAGCTTTTACTGGAGAAAAGTCCCCGTCAGAACTGCACTTCGCTTTCACACCGGGGCATAATGATCTCCTGAAGCGTGCAAAAGCCAAAATTGCATTCCTAATATGTAAAATCACTCAATTTATTTGTGTTACTTTAGAAAAATCACTTTCTTACTTCTACAGATTTGGCTTTGTGTGATTGTTGAGTTAAAGGCATGTTTGTTGTTTTGAGTCATCTGCATATGACTTTGATTTTTAATTTCAGACATTCCCAAACTGTCAGGATCAGTAGGTTTACAACATAAATGCAGTTTGAGAGGCTTAATATTGACATGAAGTCCAAACAACGCTTCAATTAACAAGACACTTTTATGGAAGATTTTCTCATGTCTCGTGCACATTTTTTCACCGTCATATTTTACCTCATTAATTTAGGCAGATTGTTTTTTAGGCTATTTTCAAGCGCTTAAATTCAACAAAATTTGAAGATGACATATATTTATTTTTTTAATTAAAAACGTAGTGAAATCAGTCACTGAAAATCACGGACACAAATATTCAAGAAGTTAAAAATTCAAACAAAGGAATTCAGGTCCATCTAAAATTGAAATTGCATTGAATTTGAGGGCTCGAAAAATAAACGTAGTGAATACTTTAAAGACAAATATGTCATTTTTAAATTTTCATCACATTGAAATTTGTTAACTGGACGGGGGCGACAGGAGCTCAATTAGCAAAGCATTAGCCTTTGAGCCTGAAGGTCGTGGTTTCGATCCCCCCACAAGACGTACTCCAACTGCTCCCACTCATGTTTACTGTCGTTTTTATGACTCTGTGGTAGCTTCTGCCATTTACTACGCTGCCGTGTGCTGGGCTCTGGGCAGCACAGAGCGGGACAGAAACAGACTGAACAAGCTGGTCAGGAGGGCCAGCTCCACTCTGGGCTGCTCCCTGGACTCTGTGGAGGAGGTGAGGGACAGGAGGCCCCTGGACTCTGTGGAGGAGGTGAGGGACAGGAGGCCCCTGGACTCTGTGGAGGAGGTGAGGGACAGGAGGTGCTAGTCAAAGCCACCTCCATCATGGACAACACCTCCCACTGCACAGGACTGTAGAGGAGCTGAGGAGCTCCTTCAGTGGAAGACTGAGACACCCTCAGTGTAGGAAGGAGCGCTACCGCAGGGCCTTTATCCCCACCGCTGTCAGACTGTACAATAAGTCACTTTAAATGATCACTGTGTGAAAACCTGCACTACTATTGACACTGTTTCCAATTGACACTTGTCACTTTTATTGTACATATATCCTGCATGTAACATGTTTGCACATTTCCTCCTTTTGCACAATCTGAGTGTCTCTATCCATGCCAAATGTGACATGTAAATTTCTCCTCTGTGAGATAAATAAAGCACATCTTATCTTATCTTGTGTCCTTGGGCAAGACACTTAAACCTACATTGCCCGAAGTCCCTGCTGAAAGAGCAAGGCTGTGTCCCCGGATTCACCACCTACAGGAGGACCAGCAAGGGACTGGTGCTATGAGCATTGGGTGGCAGCTCTGAGTGGAGTTTGCATGTTATTCCTGTGTCTGTATTGGTTTCTTGTGGATAATCTGCCTCCCACTTCAAACATGTAAAATAGTTTAAATCCTCCTGTTCCGCTATTCCTGAGCGAGCACAGCATCAAGGCCAGGCAAGTTTATTTCTATAAAGCAGTTCATACACAAGCTATTAACCACTGCTCCTGACATGTTGCCCTATTAGTATTTTGAAGATTGGGTCAAATGCAGAGAAAAAAATGCCCAAAAGGGACAACCAAGTATACCTTAATCTTAACCTATGAACACGTTATAATTTTTTGTGGGGGAAACAGTAGCTTTTGAATGTCTTGCCAACACTTTGTCGTCCAAGCAAGATATTTCTTATTTGAATCATGTTTAGTTCAAGAATCCAATGTGATTAAGAGTGATGTGATAAGGAAGTGAAAAGCACCTATAAAGTACCCTCCAGATGAAGCAATTACTTTGATACCTCACCAAGTTTGGGAGTTGATTTCTAATTTGACATAGGCAACGGTTCGCTTAAAGTTTCAAAGGAGGTGCTATTTTTGGAGGTTGCACTTGCGCCAAGGTTAGACAAGTGTGGAAATTGCATCACGGCTGCAGTAGGAGTTGTGTAGTTTCCAAATGTTAATGTTTTTGACAGATGCCTGAGATAAAGGTACATCCAAAACAGCAGTGATTACCATTTCCTCACATTACAAACGAGCAGAGGGAAGATCAGTAAGTAAGTAAGCGCAACATGGAGTGTGTGAAGCATCAAATTATGAGGATTTCACAGTTACGTAGAAGAAGAAAAAAACATGGCCGAAACTTTCAGACTGCAACAATCTCCTTTTGGTATTAAAAGAGTTCATACTTTCATTCTTAGTCATTAACTCCCAGAGCAGTCAATTTGACGGCTTTTTGATTTTGAAACGTGTTTACTCAGCTTATATACATGTTTGGTTTTCATAACTTTCTGACTTTGTGTCTCTATATGTAGTTTATTTCTGTCCATCTAATTTTGGAATGATCTGAATTCTGGAATTGTGCTGGTTCTGAGCTGAGCTTGAGAAGATTTACTATTATCCACAAATAATGGTAATAATGCATGGGTTTTATTCCGCGCTTTTTTGGACACTTTTTTGTCATTATTTATTCACTACATACACGGTGGTAATAAACTACTACAGTGGCCACAGTTGCCCTGGGGCACTCTGACAGAAGAGAGGCAACCATGTGCCAACGGTCCGGCCCCTCCGACCACCACTACTTGCAGCAGTTAGTATTTGGCAAGCTATATCAAGCTATTTTTGCTATATTTAAAGTTATGCTAACCAGTTTTAGCATGTATAAAAGAAACCTTGTCATTTATTATTTAAGTAGAAAAATCTGAAAATTGTTGGGATTTTTTTAAAGAATTCCATTGATTTGAATGGGAGTTGTCAAAATGACTGCTCTGGGAGTTCTAGTAGTTACATCATTCTGGGAGCCCACGCATTAATCTATTTGGTGGCATAAAAAGTGTGGTCAATATTTTTCATCCGTTCAACTTTTTTTTCCATAGTCCTAAGTTACCATAGCAGTTGTTTCACTTAAATGTTGATTTGCCACCATCAGATTAGAAACCAAAACAATCACAGTAACTTCGAAGGTACACACAGTGGGAGAGGGATCCACTCCGATGGACACACAAACTGTTAATGTGTTGAGCCAAAGTCACGCGCTCGCTAATAGTTCCACTCAATAAAGTTTTCATTTTTATTCGTCCCATTCCCAAAAAAGTCTTTGTAAAGGTCAAATGTTGTCAACAAATCAGACCGTAACATTATATTCATCGTATTAGACAGTAAAAATGCCATCTTGTGAGCCCAGTGTATCAATAATAGACACTTTGGGCTGTGAGCTGATTGGTTGAGCAAGGGTGATCCTCTCCTTTTTATCACTCAAAAAGTTGAACTAAAGCTTTATGTAAGCTGTGAACTTTGAGGTTTGAAAATGAGGCGTCTCAGGTTCAAGTATTACCTCAGTCATGTTATAGATTTTGACGTGTGGATAAGAGTTTAAACTGCTCTAAAAATCCAATCTAGCTTTTGTCAACTCATAACTATAGTTGAAGAATTGGCAACACAACAAAAAATAAAGGGTATGAATGCTTCCAATCAAGTGTTGTTTTTGTCTTGCACTGACATGTTGACACTCAGACAAAGCAGTTCAATCTTATTTCAAGAGCATTTTCAATTTTTCATACCGAAAATGTGTGCTTGTCCCATTGGAAAATCTTCTCTTAAAATTTTCATGAGTCAATTGCCACATTTTGTTGTGTGTCGTTTACTTTGTGGTTGCCATCCATGTGCACAATTTTTTGTATCAAAATATAAAAACTGGTTTACGAGCCCACCTTTTGTCAGGTTTATTGTGTGCTACCATTCACGCGTGTCTCACCTTGTAACAGAGACGTTGCCGTGGTGACTGTTTCGGGAACTCCGTCTTTGCTGTAAATGGACTGCAGGAACTCTGGCACGCAGTCGTTCTCGTCCACAATCACCACCCGCACCTAGGGCAAGAAAACACAAGGGATTTCAGGAACAGCGGAGACGATATGACCGAAAAATACTAGTCAAGGAGTTTTCTTACAAACACAATGTTGGCATCATTACTGTAAAGTGCAAAATGCCCTGAATAAATAAAGATTACATACACAAATACCGTATGGCTGGACTATAAGCTGCTGTATGTTTTCTACCAGCCTTTGTCCATAACAAGTCAACAGTTTGTTTAAATACCTCTGCATTAAATCTTGTAAATGTGTTGTTGAAAACACATGGAAGTGTATACAAAGTTTGATTTCAAAGTCAAGTTCTCCAGCTTTAATGATTTCTTAAGATATTCATATTCACAAATGCCCAAGTATCAGTATATGTTTAAGCCATTTCAAAAAAATAAAGGGTATGGTGGAAGGAGAAGCCTATCTACAACAAAGTCCGATTAAAACCATATCTTAGTGGGAAAACGGTAAAAATAAAAAAATAAAACAAACCCCCACTTTAGGAAAATGGTATGATAATTTTACGAATGGATTATTTGATTGTACTGATTTCGATTTTATGTTTACAACCCCTCAAGTACAAGTCTCATTCCCATTAACACTAGTTCCCATAATTCCTCTTCAGTTGAGACTAAAGACAACATAGAAATGAATATTTCATTGCGTTTCCTCAGACTGCTACAGTTAAAGTTGTCCAATCTGAAATAACTGTAAGAGCTTGTGTGAGTACAAAGCCTGTGCACATTCTAAATCTGGGATTATTACTTCCAACAGCATCCGGAATTGGTTTCTTTTTGGTTCAGAGTCCATTTCATCTGTGACTAACCCAAATTAACCCAATCCCAACCCGAAGAGAGAGAACGTTTCCATCCCTCACCTCATCCCAGCGAGAACCCTGACCTGATTTTGTGGCATTATTCCACTTCTTACAGAGGTGGCTGCTGCAATAAGCTCTCTCTCACTAGGTCAGAGAGAGAGAGAGAGAGAGTGCAATGTTGTGCTCTTTCTCTCTGCTTGGGCCTCTAGCAGAATAATTTTGTTTAACTTATACTGTGCGTGTGGGAGACGCTGCAAAGTTCATTAGAAGCAAGGGCGCCAACAGTGGATCTTCTATACACCACACATGTTGAATTTCAGGAAAAGTAAATGCCGAGACTATACGGCTGGCAAAGAGAACCGCTTTGACCCCAGACCCATTTTCAGCCGTGGATAAACAAGGCAGAACGAACAGCGGAGTGTAAATACCAGCAGCATTAAGTCCTGCGAGGTAAGATGAAATTCTGTAATAACACTTAATCCGTTTGTAAAGATCAACCCTGATGCATTGGACAACAAATACAATCCAGTCCATGTCAGCTCCCCGAGGTGATTTGTGTGTTTTTTCCCTGTGAGTCTCAATAAATCGCACTGTTTGCATCTCCCTTTTGAGAGAATGTTGACAGCAAATATTATGGCATAGCAGGGGTTTTTTATTGATGGCTTTTCCACATGGCCATCTGTTTATTAAGTTTATTGTCCACACATGTAGAGTCTTTTTTATCGGATATAGTCTGTGAAGGACATCTTATTTACTATTGAAGGGACAAATGTTTCTTAATGTGTTAAAAGTTACAACCAACTGTTTCAGTTCAACTATAATATTAAAAGGACTTTTTCCTACAAAAAATTAAAATAGAATAAGGATGGTTCTGCTCACATTTACAAACATATAAATAGTGTATCCTGCAGGAGGTGAGTCCACAGCAGGACGGCTGCTCTGTCAGTGAGAGTGTAGCCTTGTCAGCAGTGGCTTCAGGCAAAGGGGGGTTTGAGTGTCTTGCTTAAGGACACTACAACAGCAGATATCAGTGGGAGCCGGTGGAGAATGTCTCTGAATCACCAGATTCAGAATATGATAATTTTCTGGGAATCATTTCATGGTCCGGCCTTACATGGTAAGGGTACACTTTCTGTGACCCCATTGTGAGTTCTATAATTTGCACACTCTGCCCATGCCTGGAAACATCAATGAGGTAAAGGCAGGTGTTTAAACCACGATGACTTTGAAAATGTGCACGGCGAGTCATGCACGCTTCCACACCGCCGTAGGGGAGGTCTTGGGCTTGTTAGGTGACTAATGGTGCCGATGAGCTATCATTTCTGGAGGGAGGGAAACTTAGAAACTACCTGCAAATTAAAGTCATGCTGGCTGACTTCGGTCCACACAATTACACAGGGACGGTTCACTCTTGCGGCACACGGAGACGGATGTGTGAAAAGCAGAAGGATTCAAAGAGATTTTTTTAAGCGATAAGTGATGGGGAAATGGTATTCCTTTGCAATAGGAACTTTTAGAATTGCGGCAGGCTTCACTGGGACTCTGCATAAGAGCAAAAACCTTAGAAAGCTTTTGAATTTTTCCACAGATGCTGTCTGTATTCCCCGAGCAGTCGAGCCGTGATTTCCCAAAATACTGTTCTGCAACTTGTCATTAGATGTTAGGGCAGTGTTTTCCAAAGTGGGGTAAGGGGGACAACAAACCAAGCAACTGTTTTGTTTTTCAGAATAGACGTACTTTTTACAAGGGGGAACTGGTTTGGGGAGGTAGACATGGGGAGGTCTAAGGTTTCATTATAACACTGTGGAATGTACATCATTACATTTACAGAGAACACTGTCTTCTGTTCTGGTTCATCCAACTGTACCATTCCAAGCACATGCAGCAGTATGAAAATTGCAAAAAATCAATTCAAGAAAATAAAAATTATGTTGTGGCTTACATGCATCGTTTTTCAACCACTGTCTCTGGTTAATCTGTAAGAATATGTTTTTTGTTTTTTTCTTGTGGTGTCAAAATAAGCTTAGTATAGCTAAATTGCATGAAATAAAATGCAACTCCCCTCTGGAAATGAAGGCACAGCATTTTTCTATCAATATAACGTAGTAGAGATACTTGGAGTGGCAGAGAACTGTATTGTCGTGCTTTCAAGTTGTTTCATCAGGGCTGGTACTTATTACTTATAGAGATGGTGTGGAGCATTAAGAAAAACATGAGGTTTGAAAAAGGTTGTAGATATCGTCAGGAGATTCTAGGTTCTGTTTGTTTTTGCAGCTTCACAAGGAAAGATTGTGTACATTGTGTTTTCTCATACCACATTCAGAGCAAACACAACTCCCTTACAGGTGGAACATGTTTTGATTTTCTACCCAGGTGTGAGCTGAAACTGCCCTGGATGGCCCCAAAAAAATAGCTTTATAATGTATTATTTATAGTTGTGTGTACCACAATAGGCAAGTTTTTTATTGAACACATATATCTTCGTAGCTGGAGCAGTGGACTCAGATGTCTTTCCAATTGTATTTGTGCTTTGTCTGCACTGTACTGTTTGCACACTGGACAACTGGGGCAGGCTGGAGCTGTCAAGGGTTTTCAAACAGACAATAACTTTTACAATATTACCTGCATTAATGCTATTGTAATAATGCTGAGACTCTTGGACATCTTTGGAATTCTATATCTGCATTATCCTGGCATGGAACGGAATGAAACATGAGGTCAGGTGACTCTCATAAAATCTGAATCAGTCTGAACCATCATCTACAGACAACAGTGGAATTAAAGATAAAAAAAGCAACACACACACACGGTAGTAAGCATGGTAGGGTGCAAAGCTTTTGTAACAAATGTAATAAAACAGATATGAGCAAAAAGCTAAAGAGACTTGGGGCCTAATGCCACATACCGGCCAGAGAGAACACTGAGTGTTCTGAAAGGGAGGATTCCAGAGAATTCATGACATTTACATGCACATTATCATCACATTTGCATGAAAGAGCATTCCCTCGCTTCAAGTAGATTTGGATGCAGGTGCATCTGGGCTGCTGGATTTGTGTCACTAATAGCGCCCTGTGTTACTGTCGTCCTAAAAGTGCACTTTATTGATCCCCGTAGGGCAATTCAATCCTCTGCATTTGACCCATCCTGATGCCACGAAGGCTTGCGTCAGGAGCAGTGGTTGCCATAGTAACAGCGTCCGGGAACCCATCTCCAGATGTTGATGCTCGGCTTGGTCAGGACTATCGGAGCTGGAGGATTGAACCTAGTTAGCATGTCCTAGCTCTCCTAAGGTCATTGACCCGGTCTCTTGCAGGTCTGATCTGTCACCGTTCATCATTTTAATCCCACAAAGCCCCAGATTGAGGCAGGTTGTCAAATATCTTACATTTCTCACCAATAATAATTGCTCCAACAGTACCTATTGTAGTTTGGTTCATCCCAGCCTTCTTCAGGTTTTAGACAGCGTTCTGGTCTGGGCCATGGCAGAGGATGGAGTCTGACTGTTTGAAAGTCTAGACAGGTGTCTTTTCTACAGATAACATGTTCAAACTGCTGACATTACTGCAGGTAAAAACAGGATAGTTTCTAGAAAAAAGAAAGTAGCTGTCTGCAAGACTAAGTATTGAGTATAATTATAAGTATGTTTTTAAGAAATACTAAGATAATGAAAATAGAAACTACACTAGAAACTAAACTAAAATATTAACTTATTCAACTATTCATCGTCAAGTCATTCTTATTGCCAGAAGAAAGATATAATCAAATCAAAGACAACTGGCTCCAATGCAAGAGAATATGTGATTACCAGAATAATGACATACTCCATTCTATTATTGATGTGGCTATACATCTTTCATAATATTAAATGTTTCAACTGTAATTTGATCTCTCTCTGCATCAATGATTCATGACGTTTCCTATATTAGACCAATGCACTACTGTAAACAGATATATGTCCTCAATGCTTCTATCACTTACATCTTCAAATAAAAATTGTTTGGTTGGGTTTATTCCCTTTGAAGATCCACAACCTCGTGTGCACATTTGGCTTATCTAATGCCACTTTGAACACTTCATATATAGGATTGCCTAAGTATGCATGTTCCGTGGCTCCCAGGGTTTCCAGTCCGACACAGAAGCTTTGTTTGTGCTCATTCCTCATGGCGTCGCAAATGACTCATTTCTTTCACGA